CACACAATTTCAGCGGCTGTCCTTGTGGACCTACTGAAATGGCAAATCGTTGGAACTCAAAGAAATTCGTGGAATCAAATGTTCATATTATTCGACAGCTACACCGACCGATATTAGGGCAACCTCTTCGTGGCATCGTAACAAATTTCAATTTGAAATTGATCGATAAAGTCTTCACTGTATAATTTCCAATAATTTACCTTTTGAAGAGCCGAGATAAAGCAAGCGAAACGACCGAAATTGAATCAAATAATTCTTAAATCAGCTGAAGAAGTAACACAAATCAATTAAAATGGAAATGAGATAAGCTATATTCACTAACAAACGAAAACTGTTCAAAAAAAACAAATCAGAAAGAAAAAAAGTTCATTTTTGAAAAAAATATAGATTTGAAGAAAAAAAGATCCACAACGAACGACCTCTGAAAATTTCATCAAGATCTGTTAGAAAATGTCGTTAATCTAATGAGAATCGTCGAGTCTGACTTTCATGCGAGAATTTTTTTCGATTGCCCAAAAGCTAAGCAAAGCACAAAACTTAGTTTGGAACCAATTGAAAAAAGTAGAATACACAAAGAAGCTCTATGTATGGGTGCCACATGAGTTAATGAGAAAGAATCTCATAGACCGAATATCCAACTGAGAATCCCTACTGAATCGTAACAAAATCAACTCATTTCTGAAGCTGGTGTGTGACTGCTGATGAAAAGTGGTAATGGAAAATTATCATTATTTAGGAGCAGTGGGCCGGCACTAGCGGTCTCTAAGCCAGTGTGTTTCGTGGAATTGGCAAAGACTCAGCCAAGGAGGAGAATTTCGCTTTCATCAGAGCAATGCCAGAACAAAAAAATCGATAAAAAAACTCGACAGAATCTCGGAGAGCTTGGCATACATACCCTTAATAGTTCGAACCCCACACCAAGTGATTACCTGCGGCTCCTATATATGACTCAACAGGTGAAAAATTGACCTCAAGAGAAGTCTGTAAAAATCAATTCTACCAATTTTTTGCCAATAGGGATAAGGTTTTCTATGAGAGAGGCATAATGGCATTACGGTGAATACGGCAAATCAAGCATAAATTTAATGCCAAAATACATAAATTTTTTTATTTTGCTTTTTTTTAAGAACTACAACCAAAATTTCCATATCCACATGCTCAACTAGTATCTTCTCTTCTTTTCAAACGTCTAACCATCCATTCGCCAAAGTCATCTTTATACTGTCATACTCTTCGGTGGCTGTTAGGATTTCTGATTTTCTTTTTTTTTCAAAGGAGCGAGAAACCAATAGCAAGTGAGTCTCGCATAACTTAGAAATTGTAGACAATTTTTTGAGCTCCACTTTAATTCAGCAAATTCAAACTTTAAAAATCACTTAATATACGGATCATGTGATACAATGCAGAATAGAAGATGACAACATCCCATGTCATGGCTCTAAAAGTCTTTAAGAGATAGGTTTAACAAAAGATATGTGACCTTCTGAGGGGTGGGCATGTGCCAATTGGAGAAGGACCAGCCATTACTTGACGTTCCCAACTAGTGAAATGAAGTATAAATGCGAAAACGAAGCTTTTTTTATTTGATAATGAAAATATTGGATCTATTGGGAACGCCTTTTGTTTAAAGCAAACTTTGTTTAAATTAATGTCATCTAACTCCGGCCATAAAGAAATTATTAATCATCTCTTGGTAAAATGGCGCCGCCGGATCGTAAAATGCACCAAATAGTTCTACGTTGAGGATGGAGAGGCTTTTCAACAATAAATCTTGGGCCTTTCAATGTAGTCTCAGGTGCCACAGTTTTGCTTTTGTTGACGTTGATCGAGGATAGAAAATGGCCTCATCAGTCAGGATGATGTTTCGATGAGTTTTTTATAATGAATTTTAATAATTTATACGCTTTTTTGGAGCGTGTTTCGTTCCATATGCAATACTGGCGTCATTTTTACTTGTTAAATGTCATAAAATTACAGTTTCTAAATTGAGCTCTACCAGATTGGCAGACTATTCAAAACAACACCTCTTATTGGAAAATAATTCCGACCAAAAATATTTGACATTGAATTTGCATAAATATGAATTTCAAATATTTGCCTATTTTATGTGTGCCCATTTACGAAATTATTCATGGCCTCCATTTGAAGTTCGATTTAGTCTTCATTCACTGTAAGTCTGTATTTTCATAAAAAAAATGTCATTTTTTACCTGCAAAAACCAAAAGAAGATACCCAGAAGGAGTTGACAATTTTTTTGTTGAGCGAAAAATGTGTTATTATCAGTACTTCCTTTGCCACGACAAAATCATGTGAACGACAATTGCCTTCCAGGCGGTTTTTCCAGCTAAAAATGCACGCTAGCGATTGAGTTCGGAAATAACAAGGGAGCCATATTTACAAATTAAAAAAATATAAAAACAGAATTCTGTATTTTAATAGTCAGAGATATACGTATACATTGAAAATATGAAAGGGAGCAAAATATAAAAAGGAGTTAACGACAACTGAACTTGGAACACGAACTTGCTTCTATTGGTGTAGAAAAATTATATAAAATGCATAGATTTTCTGCTCTGTATTTGTATGTAATACCTTTTGTAACATTTTCAATGAAGCATTAATACTCTTTCGAGCTTCTTTCATTTCAGTATACACACACTTACATAAGCCAAACACCTACTTGTAGTAAGTTCTCCGATTATAACCATTCGCCGGGCTTAAGTAAATAATAAAGTGTAAACAGAATAGCCAAGTGCGTGAGGTTTACCTCAACAATTTCAATACAACGAAAACACCAACAAACATTGGCTGAGTACCAGCCCAGGTAAAATTTAATGTGAATTTTTTATGAAAATCTGTTATTCATGATTACTTCGATTTGAGCCAGAGCTCACTGTATGGTGCAAGACGAAGACTGTATTTTGCATAGAAAAATCGAGTGTACAAACGTTTTTCAGTATTACAACTACAAGAAGGGACATAAAATGGTCTCGCACTTGTACGCAAATCAATGCAGGAAATCAATGAACCTGCACACCAATCCGTATTATAGATACAAGTATGTATGTACATAGCTTTGTAGTTGGTGAAGTGTTTACAATTGCTAATAAATTCAATAGCCTTGTGCAATATAAGTAAACACACATAGACATAGACATACATCTGTTGTAAAGTATTGCAGATAAACTCCGTGCTTCAGCATGAAAATTGAAGTTAATTCAAAATAGGTATGTATGCTAATCATAACGGATGCATATTGCTCATATTCTCAAATGAAGCACAAATAAAAACGCTTTTTTTTTTGGAAATTGAGTTGAAAATTTAGGAAATCAACGTTCAAATGTAATAATCTTTTTTAATTTTATTTTTCCTTTATTTTATTTTATATCATTCTTATTTTATTTTATTTTATTTTATTTTATTTTATTTTTATTATGTCAATTCATTTCGTTTTATTTTATTTTATTTTATTTTATTTTATTTTATTTTATTTTATTTTATTTTATGTTATTTTATTTATTTTATTTTATATTATTTTATTTTATTTTATTTTTTATGTTATGTTGTTTTTTTATTTTATTTTATTTCATTTATTTAAATTTACTTTAATTTATCTTAGTTTATCTTATTATATTTTACTTTAATTTGTTTAATTTCTTTTCCGTTTTCTTTTATTTTATTTTTTTTTTATTTTATTTTAATTAAATTTATTTTAGTTCAGTTTATTTTGTTTGATTTTACTTTATTTCATTTTTATATTATATATAAATATATTATATATAAACATATATTATGTTTTAATTTAATTTAATTTATTTTATTTTAGCTTAGTTTTTTTCTTAATATTATTTTATTTTTAACTCATTTCAAGCATTCCATTGGATTGGAGTAGCCACAAAGCCTAAAAAAAGAGGTTTCAAGCAGCGTGTAACTGTATAAGGGTTTGTGCGCATGGCACTTGGGTTTCATGGGGCGTGAATGTTCGTATAGGCATAAGTATTTGCAGAAGCTGAGCCCACGAACCTATCTATCCGGCCCTGTCTAGAGCTCGTATTAAAGGGCTAAAGGAAGGTCAAAAACTGACTATCAAACCCCCTTTAACTCCATAAACAACAGCTACTTTACCATTAGTTAAATTTAATAACCATATAGCAATACAGAGGACCGCCAGGTATGTATGTATACGTAAAATAAATTAGACAGCTAGTGTTACTTATCATAACCTAACCTATTTTCATAGCCCTCTTTGGTTGGTGCAATGATGAAAAACCACTTTCGTCTGCTACGCGGACACAACTCAGATCAGGATACTGTAGCAGGTTAAACTCCTACTTGTCCAGACTAGACCCCAGCATACCCAACGTATGCCCTGTATGTGGCGAGTCTCCGCACGACACTAACCACCTCTTCACATGCCCACTCAAACCAACTCATTTAACCCCCCCTCCCCCTTTGGTCCAACCCCGTCGAAACAGTTCGTTACCTGCACCTCCCATTAGATGACCTTGGATATTTAGATTAATCACACCTGTCCCTAAGCGGGGTTAGCAAGCCGCTACAACAACAACTTTCGTCTGCTTTCTGCCCTTGAAATGCAACAAGATCGCACCAGATCAAACACCTTGAGAAGGTGAATAGTCTTTGCTTTTTGAGGTTTGGCTGTGCTTGCTTATTAATCCTTAGGTTGCTATTTTCAAATATTTCTTCTTTTCACTATTCTTTATATTTATGAAATTTTTAAATACACCGTTATCATAACACGGATAAAAATAAAATTAAAAAGTTTCGAGCAGAATTGTTACCAACAGTTTCTTACTTTGAAATTTTAAATTTATTACACCTTTTTCTTTGTGATATAGTTTTATTTTGATGTTTTTAATCAGTCTAAAATCAAAATGGTCTATTTCATTCGGAGTTAATTTGTCAATCCTTAGGCTTATGAGTTACCCTGTGTTTTTATGGTTACTTGTAAGCACTTATTAGAAACGTCAAAGGCAAAAAGTCGAATTTAGTAGAGGTAAACACAAATAAACAAAATCAGATGTTCATTAAAAGTCAACGCCTTTTAAGTAGAATATAATTGTAAAAGTTTCTAATTTTATTAAGTAAAACTTAACTGTAATGCTGCCAGAGCCGGCAACATTCTCAATAACCTTGCTTATATATGGCGGTATACTTTTACTTCTGATTTACTATGTAAGCGTTTTGAGTACATGCTTCATAAAATACAATATTACTATTTAACCATGCATAAATATTGCAGATATTATTACTCGCCGATCTGGAAAGTGACTATTTAAATGCTCAAGAATGTTGTTCACGTCTAAATTTCTGGGTCATTCCCAAGTTCGGTGTACAAGCATTCATTTGTATTTTAATGGTAATCGACGGACACTGGATAATGATGTTAGTCAACTTGCCCATGGCCATTTGGTTAGGTTACGAATTAAGAAGACAACCGAAGGATAGTCTAGGCGTTTACGATCCAGTCGACATACACAGCCGTGGGCTATTAAAAACGCATTTAAGGAATTGTATGATATATTTGGCATATTATTTTACTATGTTCTTTGTGGGACTATATTGGTTGGTAGTAATAGATTCCAATTAGCTTGCTTGATATAAGTATTCTCTTTTTTTCAGCTTAATTATTGCTTTATTAAAAGGGGATCCCATCAAGCGGCATGAGGAAGGAGAGATAGTAACAGATTTTTAAGTAAATAGCTGCAGTATTCAGTAGTTCTTTAACCATATCATTACCAGATTCCTTTTAGTTTATTCTAGTCAAATTTTGTAGCAAAACGCACTCATTTATAATAGAAAACAATATAATGTCTTCCTAATTTATATTAAATTCACGATGTATACGTTATATAAATAACAAAGTCATGTCATCGTCATTATCATCTAAATCAAGAGCACAAATATTTTCACCAATGCGTTGTAATTAAAATTAAGCTACAATAAAAAATAATCATGTTCAACAACGTAGATTTATGATTTTTTATGAGTTTTTTTTTTAATTTTTTCCACTCTTAAAGAATATATAAGATATAAAACAATTATTTATTTACAGCTAATTCATTATTTAATCTATGAAAAAAAACCTAGTTAACATCACATTTATAAAAATAATTCCACATGTTTTACTAAATACTAAATGAACCGTTTTACTCTTATTTTAAGAAAGGCACAAATGTCTATTTCAAAAAGTCAACTACTTCCTGTAGTTCACGTTCGCGAGCTTGTTTTTGAGCCCAACGCGATTCCGCTAATTTTACATTGACAACCCAACGATCATGCGCTAAACGAATGCCACAAGTACCACCATTATCTGCCGTCACTATAGGTTGTTTTCCTTTACTACTTGCACCACCCAGATAGTATTTGGCATCAGAACGCGGATGTCGTTTCTTAGCTGGACATAATTTGCCACCTTTTGGAAATGGTGGTTGTTGCAGGTATTGTTTAAGACATCCCTGATGAAAGAGATGCCCACAATATACACGCTCTACGTATGCATCCTTGCTGTCATCTAACTCCAGTTCGGACGGTTGCTTTGGGAGCACTTCTTTGTCACAAATAGGACATAATTCCGCATGAAAATCGAATGTCGCTGCAAGACAAAATTTGAGAGCCCGATACAAGCTTGGAACAGGCTGAAATGCCCTCTGTTCCTTTGTATTTAAACGTAAAGGTTGCTCTACACATTGACGGGCAATTTCACGCGACTGACCATTTAAATATCGGAGCAAAATTGCTGGCAAATTTGTTTCTTGCTGCTGTAATTGTACACACTGCCTTGGGTAATCTTCCGGTATAAATGCGCTCACTTTGTAATAGTATTCGCCACCTTTGGCTGTTAGTTGTACAATCGAGTGACGTTGTTTTAATTTTAATTGATCTGGTGTAGCGCGAGCACCTAAGTCACGTCGGAGATCTTGTATTTCATCAAAACAAACACAAAGTGGATTATCCTGTACATATTGTTGTATAAAGCGGAGTACATGTAAACCTTGTGTTTTACCCAAATGTTCCCGAGCACTTTTCTCACTGAGGGTTGCAAGCCCATCCAAAAATTTTGTGGATAATGTACGACTTTTTATTTCAACCAGGATAGGTTCTTTGGGATAATCGGCAGGAAAACGCAAGCAAACAGTGACTTGTCTATATGAATTACTATCACCAATGTCCACACGCACGAGTGGTGATCCCGCACTAGTGCATGCAACAATTTTAGAATTTTGTACAGTGTTTTCGCACAATTTCTGTATTTCCTCCACTTCGAAGTCAATTATATTCATAATGTTTTGTTTCTAAAGCTTGTTGAAATCAAATAGTTATTTTATGTTATGTTATTCTGCAATATAATTTTGAAAGGTACCGGATTTGTTGAAAATATTTTACAAATTTCTATTTACTATAGTCATTATTCATTTGAAATTTTATACAATGTAAATGCATGGTGTAAGTTTATTATTAAGATATCAAAATATTTTAAAATATATTAAAAGTGTTTTGCTTAAGTTAATACAAATTTTATTCATAACATAATAAATCATTTTTATAATTCTAATATAATGCAGTAGTTTCGCATCAATTGGATGAACCAAAATTATATTCTCAGATGGTAACGTTGCGACCAGCTGTCTTATTTTGTTTATGTTTGTATTTGCCTCGTTCCCGTACTGGCCTGGCTCCAATATTTCTGACCCTAGTTGTTAAGAATATTACACAACAGTTCAGTGTGCAAGTCACGCAAAAAAAATTAATCAACTTACAAATCGTTACTGCAAACAATTTTTAATCTTTTGTTTCGATGTCACAAAAAAAAAATCACGTCCTTGAGGTTCCGAAAATACTTTATAATTACTGCTTGAGATTCTGCACTGCATTAAAAACAGATTGTGCCACTGTTACATCCTCTGCTGCCATGCCTAGAACCGAATTCACAGATTATAATTAATCGAAATATGAATTGTCCACTTACCCATCGATTGAAATATTGTAATTTTATCATTAAGTGGATATTTCGAAGAATTTATTACTTCCCCCACTTCTCCTATTATTTCAGCTTGCAAACCAACCAACTCTTTCTTTGCATTTTCCCAAGAATCAATATATACTTTCGCGTTATCATAAATGTCTGAACCAATTTCGCCAAAGTGCACTTGACCAGCTCCAACCGCTTTTATATAAAAATATGAAAATAATTTTAGGGGGTTTTTTCAAGAGATTTTTATAAATAATACTTACTATTGATATGAACATGGCTTTTCTTAATCATCTGATGTGTAACTAAAGCGGTCGGAGCATATGTACCCACACAAATGACATCCGCTTCAGCTACTGCTTCAGAAGCGCTTGCGCATAAATGAGAGCGAACATTTGGATGCGCTCCTTGTAATTTTTTCAACAATGATTCAGCTTTGCTGATTGTACGATTCCACAAATAAATATCACTAACTGCAAAAACTGAACACATTCCGAGTGCATGACTTTCACCTTGAACCCCAGTACCTACTATTGCAACTTTAATGGGACGAGCAACACCCTCGGGATAGCGTGGAAAGTATAAGTGCTTAGTGGCTACTATAGAGGCAGCCGCTGTTCGCCAAGCAGTAATATCTGTACCATCAACAATACAATCCAATTGGCCGGTATCCGTGTTGAAAATAAGAATATTTGCCAAAATCTTGGGTAAGGGGGTTTGACGTTCACTGTTTTTCGCAAATGATGTCACTAATTTACAGCCCAAGGTACTTAACATAGACTTTTGACCATCACCTGACACAGACGCTAAACTATAGTTTCCTACGTATCCAGGCATGGTAAGGAGAATCTTGCTTTCATCTCCACAAAATGTCAGACTTCGTGCTGGTTGATTAGTTTGTGTTCTACAGTAATCAGGATTGGTATCGCACTGTGATCGCGCAACCGACTTCATGGCTTCCTCTACAGCTTCACATACCAGACGCCAGTTAAGGACCTCTCGAACTTGTCCTGCGCTTATATGAATTAGAGACGAGCTCATTCTTGTTGCTGATTTTAACCTAAGCCGTATGAATAAAAGTACTGGACTGTGTGTTATTATACAAAACTCAGTGAATAGAAATGCTTATTTATAAGTGGATATATGTGTGGGGTATACATACATATGTACATTGTTGTGCTTATCATGACTGATAACCGGTTGTTCAAGTGCTTGTGGTGCACTCACATATGTGCATGTTTATGTACATATGTATGTATATATGAGGAGAAACTAAATAATTTGGTTTCTCATAAAATACCAAAAACCACAACCAAAATTTAGATATGAAAAAAAATGTAAAATTCTCTTTTCAATGCTTAGTTTTGCATATTATAGAGCTGTTGTGTTGAAAAAAAATGTAATAAATGAGATTGATATATATTTAAATTAAAATATATTGTGCTATTTGAATATTCAGTGTTTTTTGAATTCTTCATTGATTTTTTTGAAAATTTAAGGCAATGTTTTCACTGGAACCCATTTTTTGAAGTCATTCAATTGACTTTTTGTAATCCCCGCGTTAAAAGAATAAATTATGCAAGTGAGGAGGGAGGCGATTGGCATTTATCTTTGGTTTCCACTATTCGCTTGGTGCAAATAGGGGTTAAACGGTCATTTTCATCGTTTGCTGATTTTTTTTTAGTAAGACGTGCTACTTAAGTTTTAAAAATTATGTTGTCTTGCAAAGCATTTTCGTATGTATAGGGTCTATCCATTTTGCGGTTTCGAAATTAAACGTAAATAAAATGCATTTAGGGTATTTTTTTTCATTATATTCATATTTTGTTATGAAGTTCGAACCTTGGTATCATACCTAAAAGACTACATCGTTCAATTAACCGTCTCGCGAGTTTTGCAAACTTCGATCTGTTTGAGGCAATTTTGGAACACTTTTTGGCACGTTCAGTCTCTTCAAATTGCTTTAAAATTTCACCAATAGCTTGAGCAGAGAATGTAAATAGAAATAGTTATATTTACGTTCTCTGGCTTGAGTATTTGGACGATTATATCCTTCATAATCTTCCTTATAACCGCGAACCGTGGCAACGTTTGAATCAACGTTTCGTACAATTTTAACCGCTGAAGCGATTTTCGGCCTAGCTCCTCCTCCAGTTTAAGATTTTGCGTCTTCATGATGTTTTTCCAACAAATGGAGGGACCTACAGTTAATACTAAGCCGCCTCCGAACGGCTGATGGTTTTCTTACGAATCTTTTATGTCCGAAATACACTCGGAACGGATAACATTCCGTGCCGAGGGGCGACCACAATTAGAGAATTTGACTTAATTATGTATTTAAATTAATTTCCCATCACTTTTGGATGTTGGTGGCACCGAGATATGAACCAGAGCCTTCCGATTGTCAGCACGCAATGCTAACCACTCGGCTACCGCGGCCGCCATAAATGCCTGACTATTAATTAAAAAAAAGATGTTTGGCTTGAAGTTAAATTTGACATATGCCAAAATACAGCCCTCTTCAACGAAAGGCGTAATCCTATAAATTAAGTGTTCTACATAATTTCCAAGATCAAAACTGTTTATAGGTTATTGTTTGAAATGAAGACACTATATTATTATTTTGTAAAATAGGTGGCATTACTATTCAAAACATCATTGAGTGAAAAAGAATTCGAGTGTTATTTCATTCGCCACGTTGTGACTCACGTTTGATCTTATAAAATTTATAAATAAAAATGGTTTTGGATTTAGATTTATTCCGTAGCGATAAAGGTGGAAATCCCGACGCAATTAGGGAGAACCAAAAGAAACGCTTTAAAGACTTAGCTTTGGTAGAGACTGTAATTGAACAAGACACCGAATGGCGACAGCGACGACACCGTGCCGACAACCTAAACAAGGCAAAAAATCTCTGCAGCAAAGAGATTGGAGAAAAAATGAAGAAAAAAGAGCCACAGGGAGATGCAGCAGAGGAAGTTCCCGAAAATGTTAAGGAAAGTTTGACTGAATTAACCTCGGAAGTGTTGCGGCAATTAACAGTGAACCAAATAAAAAAGGTGCGGGTGCTCATCGACGAAGCTATGTCGGAAAATGAAAAATGTCTTCAACAAGCAGAGCAAAGGCGTAATAGTGCGCTACGTGAAGTAGGTAATCATTTGCATGATTCTGTGCCAGTATCGAATGACGAGGAGGAAAACCGTGTCGAAAGAACTTTCGGAGATTGTCAGCGTCGCGGGAAATATTCGCATGTAGATCTAATTGTGATGATCGACGGTATGAATGCCGAAAAGGGTGCCGTCGTCTCGGGTGGACGAGGATATTTCTTAACTGGGCCGGCAGTATTTCTGGAGCAAGCTCTGATTCAACATTCATTACATATGCTCAGCAACCGTGGCTACACACCCCTATATACGCCATTCTTTATGCGAAAGGAAGTTATGCAGGAAGTAGCTCAACTTTCACAATTCGACGAAGAGCTGTATAAAGTTGTAGGAAAAAGCAGTGAACGTGGTGACGAGGTTGGTGTTGATGAAAAATATCTTATTGCTACTTCAGAACAACCAATCGCTGCATATCATCGAGATGAGTGGCTACCCGAAGCTTCGTTACCCATTAAGTATGCTGGTTTGTCTACATGTTTCCGTCAAGAGGTTGGTTCACATGGACGTGATACTCGTGGCATCTTCCGTGTTCATCAATTTGAAAAAGTAGAACAATTCGTCCTCACCTCGCCACATGACAATAAATCTTGGGAAATGATGGATGAAATGATCGACAACGCCGAAAAGTTTTGCCAGTCTCTGGAAATTCCATATCGCATTGTGAACATCGTATCTGGTGCACTTAATCATGCCGCCTCAAAGAAACTAGATTTAGAAGCTTGGTTTGGCGGTAGCGCTGCATTCCGAGAACTTGTTTCGTGCTCCAACTGTCTAGATTATCAAGCGCGACGTTTGCTTGTTCGCTATGGTCAAACAAAGAAAATGAATGCAGCTGTGGATTATGTTCACATGCTAAACGCCACAATGTGCGCAACAACGCGTGTCATTTGCGCTATTTTGGAGACTCATCAAACAGAAACCGGTGTGAAGGTGCCTGAGCCATTAAAAAAATATATGCCTGAAAAATATCGTGATGAAATTCCCTTCGTAAAGCCAGCGCCAATTGATGTAGAAGCAGCTGCAGCTGTAGCCAAGAAAGGTAAAGGCAAAAAAGAGCCCGCTGCCTAGATAATTTTCCCAAAGTAGATATGGTTGAGATTTGCGACATAATACTGGAGGCTGGTGTTATGAAGGAACAACATTGCTAATTTATAATGCTGACCAATTTGTAAACTACGACATCTTCAAGAAAAATTTTACCAAATTAATGTATTTATTATTCAAGATCTAATTTTTGGCTTGCGCAATTTTTTTTTAACGAATGAAAATAAAAGTGAATAAATTAAAAGCAAAAACCTAACACTGCATTCATATAGTTGTTTCCATTGCACTGTGGGGATTTATTTAATTTCTAGTTTTTAGTCTCAGATTTGGTTGATTAGCAATCCACACCCTAGTGAATTAATTAATTTGAAATGAATCGATCTGTGGACATTACCACTAGTTCAGCCGATTAAATAAGTATAACAATAGTTGTGGGACAGGTGATCATAAGCAGTTAGAATGTGTTTGGTATCCTTGGAAACAGGTTCTTTGTTTATTTCACTTGTTTATTTAATACTCAGTAATTCATTAAGGAATATTTCAATCAGATTCAGTAGCGATAAATGCAAAATAATAATTAAATATACAAATTTCCAATGAGACAAACAAAAAAGGAAAAATATACCAACCAGAAGGTCACTCGATGGGATCGAATTCGTAAAAGAAACGCCACTAAGAGTGTGCCTTCCTTCAAAACGGACGTTGTACGAAATTTCTTCGAAAAGGACTATATCAATCGGTATGATGAAGAAGTATTGTGTGGGAAAAAAGAAACACATAGCGGTCTAAGTCCGGCACTTGTTATGGATATGCGGCATGAAATGGTAAATATGAGATTGAAATGCACAATTGAAATAAAATAACTAATCAGACTTTTTGAACCATGTGAACTATACATATTTACTTACAGTTTCGAAAGATCCCACGAAAACTACCCCTAGCTACTGTGGGCGGTCAACGCACACTCGACGCCTGTGTAAATCATAACATGGTTGTGGAAGAACGCTATATTGTGAACGAGTTGAATAAATTCCGGCAGCAGCTACAGAAAAATCACAAAAGAAGCCTTCTCAAGTTTAAACTGTCTAAGAAGTCTGACAAAAGTATATATGATATGGACAACAATTGTATAACACAAAGCTTGGAAAGAACGGCGAAGCATTTAGAAAATTTTTATACCGCTCCTTTAGAAGCGCTACAAGTTGTTGAGGATTTAGCTGTAGTTAAGTCCAGTGAAAATAGTACTGCGTTTAAAAGAGAGTTGATAATGAACTCTGATGAAAATCCTTTCGATAAAGATAAGTTCCAGGAGGAGGATACAACGAATGTCGGAAATAATGAGAGTCATTGTTTAAAACAAAAAAATATTAAGAATGAAAATTCATCGCTGGCGGAAATGGTTGAAAACACATCGGAAGTTGTAAATGCAAGTCTTTCTGAAAATATGCTTGAGAAAAGTTTGAATTTTGAAATTAAACCGCCTCCACAAGAAACTTGCCATTGCAACATATCGAATGAAGTGCTTAATGGTACGGATTTATTTGCTACACGAAGTGTACGTTTCGTTGACAATGTGGACGTAAGAAAATTGTTTCGTGAGAACTCGATATGCTCAAATACTAGTGATGGAATTGATTCAGTTGTATCGGATTTGGCTGAGGAAGCACTTTTTGAGCTACAAATGGAGGCAGAAGAGAAACTTTCAAAGCAAGCAGAAACACAAGTTCAATCGATGTCTGTAGAAACTATTAAAAAGATCGTACCAATTGATACCGCATATCCAGAAGCTACCGAACAGACAACAATAGAACCACTCCTTATTACGAGACTTGTAAAACCGAAAGAGACAGATTCGCTTATAACAACATCGGAGGATTTAGAAGAAGAAGAAAGCATTTCAAATCATGAGCAAAATTTAATAATTGAGCAACTATTCCAGTCACGAGCAAACACCAATCACACTTTATTGCGTAAATATTTTCTAAAATGGATACATTTCATCACCATTGAGAAAATCGAACGGGAAGATGTGTCAAGCAAGGGTGATCGGATACATAAAATTAATTTATTTTTGGATAAAATACGAAAAGAGAAATTGCGTCTAACACGTTATTCCCGGCAGTGCAATGCTGGACAAGAACGTGACGCGCAAAAGAAAACAGTTAATTCAACGGTAGCGACGAAAAAATATCAAAATAAGTAAGTCTTAGCTTAATGTTAATTATGACTAATTATATATTATATTTCTATTCTTTCTTTTTTTTTTTGGTTTTTGTAGAATTAAGATACAACAGGATATTATCGATATGCAACGTTTTAAACTTGAGCGTCAAGAACGTATAATTATGGAATTAAAATTGAATAAGCTGTCTGATGAAGCAAAGGAAGCTCGTCAAGATTTGAAAAATGAACTAAAGTCAATCATACGCCATGGCGATCCCAAGTTCAAAGCAAAAGCAAAATGTTTACAACTCATTGGTGACCTACGCGATGGAAAGGATGAAAATATGGCGAGCTTACAAGGAAAAGCATTGGCTGTGCCTAAATTTTTAATGAAAATGCAAGAACGTGCATTAGAGCGAAGCATTCGACACGAGAAAGCGCGTCAACGTCGTGTGCAACAGGAAGCGGAAAAAGAGGCACAAAAGATGGCTGCTGAAGAAGCAAAGGTTAGTTTTGTTGTTTATGTACATAACTTTGTGTTCGTAATATTCAAGTTGTGACAAAGTATTTTGAATAAATGTTTTCTTTTTTTCATATTGGTGACATTTCTTATAAAAATTTGAATTTTTAACTTGTTTTTGGACGGATTAATAATTGTTTTAAGTAATATTGAAACTCTTCTGTTTAGCGCCTAGAAGATGAAGAGGCTAAGAGAGTGCGTATTGAAGCTTTAAAGGAAAAACGTCGACAAGAAAAAATGGCAAAAGTTCTGAAGGAACGAGAGCACCAACGTGCGCTTGAGGATAAAAGTAAAGCTGATGAGTTTTATCGACGGTTACTGCTACGTCGTGTAGGCATGGAAGGATTTAAGCAATTGATAATACGAAAACGTGAAAATAAACGCAAATGCGAGCAATTCAGACGTAAAATCTTTAAGCGAACATATTTTTCAACTTGGCGTGATTACTATTTAAAATTGCGTACCGAAAAACAAGCATTAGCCGATGAATTATATGAGAAAATCTTAAAGAGAAGTATGTTATACATGTGGAAGTGCTATGTGCAGGATGAACGCAGCAAGTATAATGTTGCGGTGGATTGGTGCGATATGAAACGTACCGAGATAACATTTAAATTGTGGGCACAATATAGCGCGCGCATGACTGCGATCGAAGCGGCCAGAATGAAACAAGCCAAATCCCATCATGAATGGTAAGAATGAATTTGAAATGCGTGGATTCGAGTGGAATTATAAATACATCATTTTGTATATGTTATTATATAATATATTTGTTACTTTATTCAATCTTGAATTAGAAACTTGATTTTATACTTTGCTAATCCTATTTAGGCATTTAAAATGGAAGGTTCTGGATTGTTGGCAACGTTTGCCCCAAATATTGCAATTGGAAAGGGAGACTGAGGAACGACGTCAACGTTGGCGTTTGAAGATATGGGAGCTTTTGCCAGACTACACGCCCAATAGAGATGATTCTTAATAACATCTAAGTGTGTCTACAAAATAAACATTTTTTATGAAACATCTTTATCTATACATATATAGTTTAATTTATTTATTATTAATAATTTATTACCAAAAATTTTCTATACCACAATTCAAAGAGTTTGTTAGTATTTTTGACTGAACAAATCTAACCATTATAAGCTGTTGAAGAAAAATTATTAGCTTCGTACCAGTTGGTTTTCTCATTTAATCACTGCTCAAAATAGCTCTAGCGACTGTAGTGGCAGGCCATGATCAGTGGTATCTTTTAAATGAGACTTTTGGTATATGTATGTATTATGTACATATATTGCAATACTTTTAATAAATAACTTACTATGCAAAGAGTAATCAAAATTAATTCTTATTTATTTCTATTGACGCGTAATTGTTTATATCTTTGTATTAATTGTACGTATGATTCGATAGCAGAGAGCTTTTAAGTAACATTAAGCTAAATGTGTTTGCCAGAAAATTGGAATTCAATCTCCTTCCCTGTGCAACATCAAGAATTTTTTCCGTAATAGTTCAATAATATTCTGTTCGCATTACCGAGTCTTTCCGCATACGTAGATCCCACAAAATTATGATACAAGATTAATGCTATTTAGAGCAAAAAACCCTTCCAATTTTGTTTCAACGTTTTATTATTTCCACTTATTCCCTTCTTTCCTTCATGCAGAGTTATACCTCGTGATATAAAATACAGTTGTCGCACAAGTATAACCACGATATAAACTGCGATCAACAAAGCATAAGTAGCAATTACAAAAGCAATGCCAAATCTATAAATATGATTTGATTAAGGCATACATATTATATTTCTAAAACAAAAAATCCATTACTTACTCATATATGTCGAAAACTTCGGAACAATCGTCTGGTAGCAATATTTGCAGCCCTAGTATGTAAGCAAGTAAAAAAGGATGACAAATGGCGGTTAATGTTAAGTCAGCCCCTAACAATAACGCCAAAAATGCGAAGAATAATCCTGCAATATAATAACGGTGATTTGATTCACCTATACAACAATTTAACCAATAACTGTGGTGGTCATGTCGTCTAATACAAGCTCGGCAAACGGAACAATGCGCTGTTCGCAAGGGCACACATTTACGGCATGTTGAGCATATGTTGGACAGATTGCTGCTGACATCTTCGGGCGATTGCGATTCTTCCAAATTGTCTTCGATCAATAAAGCAGTTTGGTCCGTTGCGTTTTCTTCTGTTAGGCTTGCCTCTGTGATATCAGCCATATCGTTTTGGTTACCAACGCTTTGAACAACATTATTTAACGAAGCTCTTCTATGAGTCTTATAGAAGCAAAACAAAGATATTAACGATAGTATTACTAAAGCCAAGTTTTCCTCTGGAAGTACTTCAAAGAGGGGAATCGTCATTTGAAACAACAATATTGAATATATTAACGAAGCAGATATCCAAACAAAGAAAAAGCTAGTTCGCACAGATCTACGCTGGACGTAATTCAAAGCGTAGCCCATTATCACAGTGAATGATAAAAATATTATAATGCAAGTATATACATTGATGGCCGCCAAACCGATTAAAAGTGGTATAACAAATATGGGAATAAGACTACTCAAAGTAATCTGCTTAGCACCACCTTGCCATGGAATGCGTAGACGGTCCTGAAAGGTTAGCAACATATTGCGCAGACGAGATCGATCGATTGGACGGCAAGTTATCCAGCTATAAGAAAATAACTATCAAAACTATTCTTTATTATACAATATGTGTGTGTACGTACTCAGTACCAACTTGGTCAAAATCGTCACAATTGCAACAACAAGCTATTATGTTGTAACGCTTATTTTCGTGATCTATATATTCGCAGCAGCAGAGTCCTGAATGTGAAACTTTTTCAGAATCCGCCTCTTCTTGGCACTTTGCAATATAGTCTGACATAAAAATGCAGTTGCATTCCCACCGAAGAAAAATATCAAAAATGTGTAGGCAAAAAAGTTTTTTTGTTTGAACAAAAGTGACAGCAGCAATAGTTAAATAACAAAACAACAAAAAAGTTTACAAAAACGTTAATTACCAGCTTCAGTCACAGAAAGATAACGTTATTGAAGGCAAAGTAATCAATAAACATTTCAAAGTTGTTTATTTCTTTTATTTTGCGTACTTTTTTACTTCGCCGGTTGAAAATTATGTGAAAAGCTTGCCAGATCACAAAAATTTGAAAAGGCTTACTACCAGGGTTGATGACAACTAATGCATGAAAAAATTGTCAGGGCCGTTCTTATTTGAATCTGATTGGAATTAAGTTCGCTAACTATGTTCAAATCCAAATTTATGGCTCTGCTTTTCGATCTATCGGAAAAAAACTGAGAAATTTTTATTTGACGGATTGAGTTAGTTATTTAAATTCTTATTTTATGAAGCCTACAACTATTATTGAGTATAAGGGCAAAAATTTTAACACATTTTTATTTAGGCCGTAATGAGCATACATTTAAAAATAAATCTGTGAGCCTTAGTGGATTGTTTTGATGTTACAGCATCTCTGGCCCCTATGGCCTTGCCAACGAAGAACGAAGCCATTCAGCATTCTAGCTTCATACTACGATTGCTCTCCCAAGACAGACTAAACTATTTCAATTGAACTGCAACAGACTCCAGGGAAAGATTGACCAGACAATCGATTTCGACTTGCGGTTAAAGAAATCAAGCGAATTGACCGTTAAGGCCTTCTGAACCGGGTCGGTTCCAAAGTCAAACGTAAGGGTCGCAAGCGGGTTCATGGTGGTGACTTAGCATTCTTTCTGCACAAACGTGTGTGGTGCCCTCTTATCGTTGGCGACATCAGGGATACTGCCTAGAATTCGACTTTTTACACTATGGCGTATGCTGCCCTTCGTAGAATTGTGGACTTTTGCTGGCCTTATAAAATACATTATTAGGCTCTCGCGTTGGACCATTTGGCCATAATAATCTCGCTCGGCGGCATTCAGACTTTGTTTAAGCTAAATAGGGAATTACTTATAAAAACTTTAATTAAACTGACTGGTCAGGCTTCACAGTATTTACCGTGAACACTTTTAGTGCTTTCCCCATAGCAAAAACAGTCGTAATCGCAGCCGCTCGCTTCATACCAGCAGCCGATTTGCTGATATCCGCCTAAATTGTCCCACTAAAGCGGTGGATATCTTATAATCAGGGAATTCAATTTGGTACACTTCAGGCTTTTCAAGTGCGCGGCGTATTTAAGCCGACTGTTTCCACTGCCGCTTGCGTGAAATGGTGGAGATTCATGGAGTTATTGGGAAGGCAAAATCTTCAAACTACATCGGTTAGGACGACATAAGTATGCTGATGCTAAAACATCTAGATCATTTCATTTCATTTCAAAATCGTAAGCGAAGGGGTACAGGCTGTCGAATGTAAATTAGGGTTATTTATTGTCGGAATTTAGACATTGCGGGATTTCACATTCAGTTTAATCCGGTATTTCTTTTATTTACAGCTAGTGAAGAGGTTACCCGAGGTTGTAGTTCTAATGGAAATGCAGTGAAGAAGTGGGATGGGTTGCAGAGAGAGAGAGCAGTTCTAGTAACAAGTAAAACGCCGAGGAATCAGCGCCACTTGAGATCAGGGAAACACTATCTGGTGGTGAAGGAAGCTTCGAAAATAAAAATTAAACAATAGCGGGGTTTTAGGTTAAGCTCAACCAACGATTGTGGATCACTCGGGTAGTTTTTGGTCCACCTCTTCAACATCTTCCAATCATGATTGTCTTCTTATATACATGGATGGCACATCAATCAGCACACTCTCCCATGTAGGCTGAAATGAACTGAAAATTAAAGAAAAATGAAAGCATCGTGAAAAAATTGATATACACGATATGCATACAATAACATTTATTAAATAATATTCAAGGGAATCAAATTAATAATTTAAAAAAAAACATAATAGAGGTTCTGAATAGACCTATTTAATAATCGAATTTCCTGGTTTTGACCTCGACTTGTGGCAGAGCGAATTGTCCTGTTAAAAAACTGCGTTGGTATTTAGAGATAACGGTAGAAGAAGATTTCCAAGCAAGTTTTGATACGCTACAGAGTCTGGCTTGCCTGGTATCTGCACAATGGGGCCAACACAATGCTTTATAAAGACACCCCACACCATACCACTTCCCATACCGAACTTAATTTGGTAGGCGTCGCACGTAAGTTGCCCCATAAAGGCTTATATCCACTTGTAATTTTCAAAAATATCTATGCTGAGCCGATCGTCTTATAATTTTCACACGACCTCCTTAAACATATTTGTTAGGTAATGATCAATTATTTTGTCACAAATTAAAGTTTTCACTATTTCATCGATCATTACCTGCATTCCTCCATTATAATACTAATTCTTTTTTTTGGTTTTCGGGTTTTAGATAATTTTAAGCAGAAATATCTTCCTCACCTCCAGGCAACATTTTTCGTAGGCCCTTCTGGAAGTCGTCTAGAGGAACAAGAAGATCCAATATTTTTTAAAATGAATCGTTTATTGTTAAACTATATAAAAATCTTTTTACCAAATTTTTTTTATTAATTGATTGAATAAAATGCCTCTAAAAAAAATAAATAAAAATAAAAATAAATAAATAAAGAAAAGCATTCATTTTATTTTCAATTCGATACAACCCCATAAGGTTGAAGTTAAATATGGATTTCCCACTCTAAACTACAAAATAACAAAAGGAAAGATGTAATTTAACAAATTCCAATTCCAACTCAAAGTTTTTTGCTTTCTCAAGTTCTGACAACCCCAAAGCCAGTTTGAATCTTCTCTTTTTTTTGTTTTTTTTTTTGCATCTACAATAGATAATATCTGAGAACGTTTTGAATTTTTTTTCTACGAACTTCTAATAATTTTCTTATTAATATATTAAACATAAATTTCCTTAAATACCGTTATATTCATTTTTCAAGAAGTATTATTGGAATACGATATGGTGTGTTAATTAGTGTGCCACCCCTGTAACGGCGCTGGAGGAAGTCGGGTTGAATTCGTGGTTCATTGTCTGATAATAGCACTGCCTACGTGATGGAATGTTTAATAAAAAAATCTCTTGTTTTTTTTTTTTTTTGGAAATGTTTAGGTATATTTACAATATCTTCTTCTTTTTTTGTTGTAATTGTTTATTGTAAAATTCAATAATGTCTAAAATACATATTTAGGTATGCAAAGGCTATATGTATGTATGGATATAATCCATATATGTATATTCTATTTACAATAAAATAATAACTCATAAATAAATATTTGTATGTATTTATGTAGTTTAAAATAGTGATTAACAAACGTACGTATTGCAGTAATAATTATAACTATTATTATATAAAACTTCTTTACATATTCAATAGTATAGTAGGATAAATAAATATGTAAATGGAACTATGAACAGTTAACGCTGTTTTATATTATATTTTAAAAAACTTTTAATATGTATCTAGCATATTTAAACATGTATGCATATATATATATATATATTCCACAACTTGTACAGTTTTCTTCTATCATTTTCTTTTTGTTTTTCTATTCATTATTTATATCCACTTGCGAATGTTTTATGTTTACTGAAATCACAGGTGGTAGTATGTAATGTATGTAGGTGTTTATTGTGTTAAATTTGAAACTTTTTTGTTACAGTACGATTAAAATTAAACATAAATAACATATACGCATGTATATATGTATATAAATTTAATTTGTGTAATGAAGCACTTTTAAATGTAGTACTTGCCATATTATTATGTTTTATAAAATTCTGTTTTTTTTATTTAATTAAATTTTTTAATTAAATTTAAATTCATAAATGTGATTTTTTATTTATGTAACATATTTTTTTGTTTTTGTTTTGTTTTGCTTATATATTATATTTTCCTTTAATACATTGGTATTTTAATACAGTTGCTAATAATATACATACACAAATATATCAGGTGGCAAGCTATCTATAAAATTATTTAAAATATTAACGTACGCTATATATGTACAGCTATTTGAAAAGAGATCTCAAACTCTGAAAAATTAGAAAAGTTTTACTTTAGTTTACCACCAACAAAGTTTGTTTGATTTTTTCAAAAACAGTTATGTATATATTGTATAAAATATTAGTTACTGAATAGCTGCAACTTGTTTATGATTATTTTAAGCTTTTTAATAGTTACAACATATTCTACAGAGATATAAACTATTTTCTATACAGAGGTTACTTTCTAATTGAAAGCAGCATGTAAAGTGAAATTATAATTTTTTTTTAATTTAAAGTTGAAAAAAAAATTTGAAATGTGTGATCTTAAATTTCGATCAAAAATTGTGTTTAACAGATTTTAATCTAAACAGCAGAGCAAATGCCTTTCGGATAAGCTTTTTAACGCGTATACAGCAATTAATATATATTACTACTAATATTACTATATTTTATTTCTTTAATTTTAATGTAATACAAATTTCTTTTTTCCACAATGCTTTTGCGTAAATATATTTTTTAAGAAATTTAAATTTTTATGAGAATTATTTTTTTTTACACAACATACAAAACAAATATTCACATACTTAATACATAATTTTATTCAATTAAATTAAATTTATCAAATCGCGCCTACGCGCTCAACGCAAACCCCATAAAATGTATAAAAAGATAACGCTGTCTCTACTCTCTCTCCGTTAATTTACTACGTCGACATTTGATATACACTTTGCCATCGAACTTTTCCTTTCTCTCTCTCTTTCTCTCTCTTTCTCTCTTTCTCTCTCCCTCTCTCTCTCTCTCTCACTCTCTTTCTCTCTCTCTCTCTAACACACTTTCATTGTAGTCGACTTAGATTTTCAAATCGGCTGGCGTATTTATCTGATCAACGGAAAGGATCATCATATTCTTAATATTTGCCACCTCCGATTCCAGTCGTGCCAAATGCGACTTAAGTATATGCTCACGCTCTGACGGTGACACGCCCACAATTGAACTATTATTACCACAATTGGTCTTATCAGCTTTACGTTGAAATTGCGCTGTCCACTCGGCACTACCGATTGAAATGCCCGAATCACGTTCATCGCTCGAATTGTCCCCATTATCAGCCCAACCTGGCGGTGATGCACGATTGCTCACCGGCTCCTGTTTGATGTGTTGCAGTGCGAGCAATGCTGTGGCTGCCGCATCCTTGTCACCCAAATGTGACTTGTGCCGCAACTTGAGTGGTAGACAATTGTTGGAATCTGTGCTGCTGGGACTGGTAGTACTGATGCTCACAACATTATTATGCTCAATATCATCAACACCATCTTGTTCGTGTTCATCGTCGCCAGAGATGACGCCCGATGAGGAGGCCGACGAGGAGATAGTGGATGAGAGCATATTTTCATATGCCGGCGAGCAGGCACGACGCGATAAGTTGAGCACGTTATTGCCGACATTTGAACAGTTGCTACCATTACCGGTTATAGAGGATGAGGAGACTGCATCTGCAGCGCTTGAACTCACATTGCTGGCTTCGGGCGATTTTGTATGATAGCCATTCTCTAGGTTTTGACTGGACACCGACACTGGATCCTTTGTGCTATAGGCGTATATACTGGCGGGATGTGGTGGCACGTAGAGTGGTGCCGTTACAGGTGCGCTATATAGCGGCGAGTCAGCTGGCTCGGCTGTGCCGTTAGTCGTTATAGCAGCACCCACAACAGCAACAACTTTGCGCAAATTATCGAGATCATCGCAGTTGACATTGCGATTGAGTGCTTGTAAAACGTGTAAGTTTTGTAGATTGGACGGTGGTGGCGGCGGCGGCGGTTGTTGTGATGACACTGCAGTCGGCATGTGACGTGCATTCTCCAAATGCGTTGGCGCATTGGCGTTGGGACTGCCGTTACTTAAAACGCCATTATTGTTATTGTTGGCTCTATTCAACTCAGCGGCGTAGTTAGAGTTAATTGTTGGCAGGGTGGATGATGGTGGTGGTGGTGGCGCGTAATGCTCTGCGCTGAGGTGTACTGGCGAGGTGGACATTTGCATGTGTGCGACACTTGTTAGCGCATGCGTGTGTGATAATGTATTGGCCATACTTGTGTGATTTACATTCTTGATGACCTGCTGCAAGGATTGCTGTGTACTTTTGCACAACAAACCGTTATCGCCATTCAGTGCGCCACTATTCGAATCATTGATGTTCACCTGATTCATGGTGTTCGATTTTTGTGGTGTGAGTATACCGCTGGAGGTGGGAGTTTGTGCGCCTATGGGTGTGGCATTCGGTATGCCGACCGTGCCATTTGTGTTTGTTGTGTGTGCAGGTATACCGTAAACAATAGATGTGGGCACCGCGGTAGTGGCGCCATTGAAATTGCCATTTATTGTCATCTTGGCACGTTTGGTAATACTCAATACTTGTTCACTGGTTGGCAATGAGGCCAATATCTGTTCAACGCTCACCAAATTTTCACCGGATATATTAAATTTGTCCTTAATAGCGTCTAACTGTGCCTTCAAAACGTGATTCTCTTTAGTTAGCTCAACAACGCGTTGCTCTAAAACCATATCGTTGTAGCGCCGCTTCTCACGACTACGCTTGGCAGCTTCATTATTGCGACGACGACGATCCCAATAGCTATCATCCTTCTTGCTATCGGGTGTAAACTCACGTTGCTTGCGTTGTGTGAAGAGATCTTTATGCGATTGCGACTGTTGTGATGATGATTTGGACATGTTGTGTGAATCGAATGAGCTATTCGAGCCGCTGAAACTATTACGATACTGTTTGCCATTTCCATGAGACATGTTGTCGGGTAAACTGTGGCCACTATCACTAGATTGTGGACTTATGGGGCCATACATGGAGTAGGCATGTACTGTAAGTAGAAAGGAGAAAGGGTGAGGGGTGCGATAAGTATCGTTGAAGCAGGAAAAAAACATAAACTTTATAAAGGAAATATGTGATAAATATGTATAAATACAAAAAAAAAATTGAGATGTGCGATTAATCAATCGGTATTTCTTTGATTAGACAGCGTTCTAATTAATCAATTATTGGCTATATATGTGATGTGACATATAAATAATCAGGTGATAATTAGTTATTGGAATTAAAAAAAAAAATTTTGCTTAATAAAACCTGTTAACACTGATTAATTAATGAAACAGTTTTTATTTACTCATCACATTTGATTAATCGATTAATCGCAAATCTCTTAGTTTAATCTGAACTTAAATCCCTTCTAACTTACCGTTATTGGCATCATTTGAGCTGCCGTTCAACGAAAGTGTCGGCGAAATGGACGGTAAGCGTACGTTATGCATTGTGGTTGATGATTTTGTATTTGAACCTGTTATGGGTGAGGAGCTAATATTGTTGTTGTTGTTGTTGTTGTTGTTGTTGTTGAGACTTTTCTGATGGTTAGTATTTAGCGCAGCAACACTAAGGATTTCCGGCATATCAGTAATGAAATTTCCGTTGTTTATAACCTCACCATTGATGGCGACGGCGATATCTTTGGATATATGCTGTTGTTGTTGTTGCTGCTGCTGGTGATGTTGTTGTAGTTGCTGTTGCTGCTGCTGTTGGCGAGCAATCAGCTCAGCGACGGTATTCCTTTTATTGTACTGTTGTTGTAGCAACTCTAATTGTTGTTGGTTGAGATTGTTGTTATTGTAAATATCAGTATTTTTGTTAGAAATATTGTTGTTGTTGTTGTTTGACTTATATGTTGCATCTGTGGCGAAGAAAAAGAGAGAAAATAAAGATTAGAAATTAGTTATATTAAATAAGCAAATATTTATAAAATATATACAAGTGTGGATGGAGAATGAATAAAGAAATAAGCAATAATAAAAAATTGTTTATAATTAAAATTCATTTAAAATGAAATTTTTTAACTCCCCTATTTTAAAACTTCTAAATATTAAAAAAAAACAAAGCTTTTTAATTTATAGCTATTGGAAAATTCAAAAAGCTTTTGCTCTCATAATGTGAAAGTTCTAGAATGAAGAGGATATAAATATAATATCTAAAGCTTCTAGTAAGAAAACAATAAAATTTAATTTAGTTCTTATTTTGATCTTATAGTTATTAGCAAAATAATGTTAATTGTAAAAAAGCTTTTAAAAATGCGTTTGCCTTAAAAACGCCAAAGCTCTGAAAGCTCAGCTTACCTTGTTGCAAGAATGCGCAATATTAAAAAATGTTTTGAAAACATAACTTTAAAAAGCTTGTTAAGTTCGCTTTGTTTTAAAAACTGTTTCACAAAAATATCCGCTCTTTAGAGCTTTCAACTTTTAAATAGCAAAACTTTAAATATATATTCTGTTCTCAAAATAAATCGCCAGTTGCTATTCAAATAAAAAAATCTTTAAAGTTTAATATCTACAACTGGGAAAGCAATATTAACTTTAACTTATTTTCAAGAAAAGCTGCTTTCTGGAGCTTTCAATATAAATCTTTGCTAAAATCAAATTCATACAAACATTCACACACAAATATTTCTATCAACATCAAATCTATAAAAAAAATTAATTAAATTCATATATTTTTTCCGAAGAATAGTGTTTTCTAGAGCTTTTGGAACTTATGGAAACATTTAAAATAATTTAATTCCAGTTGTCTTTATTATCAAATGTCTTTATTAAAAAATATAAGATCAGGCACAAATTTTTCAAAAGCATCGGACTTCGAGAGCTTTCGGTTGTTTTGGTAAAAAAAAAGTAAATTTTTTTAGCGAAAAAAAAGATATTTTTTATAGAACGTAAAAAAACTTTTACTTTGCTCGTGTTTTTATTATACTTTTCTGTTTTTTTTTTTTAATCAGTAAAGAAAAAATATTTAAAAATTATGTTTAAATGGCTAATTATTTCTAAGCTTCCTTCCACATATTTGCATATGTATGTATGCAAATACTGTAATTTTTTTTTTAGAATCTAAAGATGCTGGGAAAAAATAAATTTTCTGAGTCATATATTGCTCAACATTTTCACAGACTTAACGCCCCAATCGCGGAAGGGGGCAAAGTACGGCAGAGGGCTTGATATGTCATAGAAGTTTTCTAAATCAAATATAAATACATTTTGTCTACATATGAACTTATAAACAAGCATTTTGCAGTGGATATTTAAAGCACTGGCGAATTTAAACAAATTGTCATAAGAGTACTTCCCACGTATTCAAGTAAATAAATAACTTATTTTTTAGAAAAAAAAAAATGAAAAGTATTTGGTATGTTGTTTACTGCATTTTTAATATATAATTTTTTTTTACTCTAATGAGTGCATTTTTAATATATTTCAAATTTTTATTTTTATTTTTTTATTACTAATTTTTTTGTTTTTTGTTTATTTTTCTTTTTATTTTTTCAAGCTAAACGTACTTCTCTCCTTAGCGTAAATGTTATTATTATAACTTTTAACCGGATCCACTGATCCAATATTGCTACTGGCTGCTGCTGCGGATGATGTTTGTGTGGTTGGTTGTGATGTGGTTTTTAGTGCATTATTATTTTTCAAAACAAGCACATTTTTAGCTGAAGAATTTTTGAATAAATTCACTTTAGGCTCCAATGTGCAGACAATAGACATTTTTAATTAGTTTATTTTATAACGTACTGTATATTGTTGTTATTATAACTGTTAATGTTTTTCAAAAAAATTAAGTTTCTTTTTTAATTTTTTTTTATATAATTTGAGTTTATCTGTTCATAGTGTTGTTAAAATTGTAAAATTGTTTTAAAATTATAAGTTTTAACTCTCTCTCTCTTGTTCTTATTTAATAATCAGTTTAAATTCTTTTGAATCAAGTTTTTTGTTAAGCACATCAGAACTTTAATTTTTTTTTGTTTTTGTTTAAATAATCCATTTGCATTAAAGATGATAGCTTTATTTAAAATTGCTATTATTTTAAAATTAACCGTGTTTATTTCATTTTGTAATCCTCAAACACAATGTAGCGCGCAACGCAACAATTTGAACCGTTATATTGTATATATGTATGTACGCAAGTATTCCACAAGTAGTTAAGTCTAAGAGATTCACTGCGCGCCCATTGTGTCGCTTTGCGTGACTTGATTTGGAGATTCTTCTTGCCACTGCTCTTGGTTCTATTTACTGCGTTCCATTTAATTTATTTCTCTATTTGTTTTCGGTTGAAATCTGTACGGTTTTTGGTTTTGCCGTTTTTATTTTATTTATTTATTCATAGCATTTTTGTTTTTTAACTTTTTGGTCAGAATATTGCATTAGCGGTGCAATAACTCGCACAACCGTTTACTACGAGTGTTGAAACACAATTGAAATAGAAAAGCTTTCACAAGTAAACCTCTTTCACTGCTCAAAGTCAAAATCAAATGGCAAGCGCGGCTACGCTACAGCAGCTGAGTTGGTTGGCTGTCTGCTCGGTTCGTTGGCTGGCTGGTTGGCTGGCTTGCTGGCTGCTGCCGCTGCTGCTGCTGCTGCTAGTGATTGTTGGTATGTATTTTGTGTTGGCTAATGCCAGTGTTTTGCCGTAGTAAATGCGGTCACGTTGCAGCAACACATGTTAGTCGGTCTCTCGTTCGAACATGTTGCAACCTATATTTTTCATAATGAAACTGGTATTGACAGCTGTATTACACACAAACACACAAACACAGAGACACAACCCACCACCTCCCACCTGCCTACTTAATAGCCTACGAACGGAATGAAATTCTTCTACGGCAGAGTACGATGCATACATATATATCTACATGTCGTCCATGTAAAGTGTTGTAGTCTGTAGTTCTACGTGTACAAGTTTGTTGCTTTGTCTTGTGTTGTTTACTTAATAGCTGTTAAGTTAGTGTGGGTAAAAGTGAAATTTCTTTCAAGCTTTGCTTTAGAACATGTTGCGCAGCAGCAGACACAAGAACCGAACGACAAGAACTCAATCAAACAAACGGCCGACCAATTCGCGTGCATTGCCGTGTGAATCGTGAGTTGACTAAGCTTACAGTAATCAAACCGAAATGTCTGTACGTCCGTGCGTCCTCCAACGAGTAGATCACATTGCACATTTCCATTTGTATTGAGTAATCATGTAAGAGCTACATACATACATATGTGCTTACTTTGTAAGTAAGCGAAGGGGGTGGGTGTGAATATTTACTGAATTCCGACTGCGGTGCATGCATAGTCACGCGTCAGAGCCGCACTCTCACTCGGCATGGGTCCATTGCTTAATCGAGGCTGCGCGAAGGTAGCATAAAACAGCAAATGGTCTCAATGTTCTTTTAGGATTCTATTCTTTTTTTTTAATTCTTTCCTTTTTTTATTTTTTGGTTTGCGCAGTATCGACAGTTATCAAACAATACAATGTTTGTAAGTGTGTAACCATACGGTTAGTAGTCATTTTGAGGGCAAAAGAGAGTAAGAACTTAAGCGAGCATGGCGTAACTAATTATGTGTGTACATTTAAAAATATACCCATCCGTACTTACATATGTATGTACATACCGAATATACGTAAATACGTGTATGTATATATGTACTCAACTACTGGCAGGTTTGAACGAAAACGTGATTTGTAGCTTTTGTTTTTGTAATCGTTGACGTTTGCGCTGATCTTTTTTTTCGTTTTTGTTGTGTTATTTGCGTTGTTTATAATTTTTCTCCCCATTTTGAATTTTGCAATAATTGGTGTTAATAAATTTATGTAAGCATAATAATATTTAATGTAACCAAAAGCAAAGTTGACAGGACTAGACTGATTAAACAAATTCATGCTTACAAAACAGGTGATAAACAGCATAGATGTATGCGTGTGAAATATATGTGTGTATGTATGTACTTAACTGCGTAATGCTCTTATATATACATACACTCATATACATAACTGGCTATGATCATTAAGACATCGCTAGCACTCAAAGTGTACGTCAGTAGGGCATAACTCTTGTGATAATGCCATACTAACGGTTCATCAAAAACTAGTGCCCTACTTACAGCAAAAAAAGAAATAGAAGTGTGAGTTATACTTACAAGAAGCTTAGGCTACTAGAATGATAACTCATTTCTTTTCTCCAACTTTTCCTTAACTCTTTCTCGTTTTTTGTTGGTAGATACACATATGAACACATATGTTGTTAAATGGAAGAAATATATGTAGAATATCTACAGAATGCATTTAAGCTACATATGTATCTAATGGTATTTGGTGCCGTTTATAACTATCTCTTTGAACGCTCATAAAAGACTTGTCTATTCTTTGTTAAAAGAATAAATTGAAAATTTTGGCTTAAAAATATATTAATGGGTCAAGCGTGAGTGTTGTTAAGTTTATAATGTTTACAAAGCTTAGAAATTTTTGTAATACTCTTATATGCACATAAAAATACTGATGTATGTATGCGTAACGAGTTTTATTAAAGTGTAACCAGAATTATGAAAGAAAGCAGGTTAATAACCAACAAATGGTGGAAACTTTCTCGTACTGATTTTTTGGTTCTTATGAGGAGAAAAAAGAGAGAAATTATGTCGAACTCCAATTCATATTTGTGGGGAGTACTGTAGTTAAATAAATTCAAAATTCTTAAAAATATTACATAGGCATGTACATGAATATATACAGTTTAAGGAGACCCTCCCCTGATATTGGGTCAAAATCAGGCAAATTTTGTTTTTTTTTCTTGGGAGAATGATAAGGCATACCAACCTCCGGTTTTGACTATTATATTTGATTAACAAAAAAACATGGCCAAACAACTTCAAGCCTACAGCCTCTTTTAGTACACTGAAATCAAAAATCGTTGCAACTCCTGAACCTCAAATGAAACTATTTTAACCATATATCATTGCATTTATAAAGTAAAATTTTTTGCTCCTTTTTTCACTACAATAACGTTTAAAATATAAATAATTAATTATTAATGCTAATCTTAAGTTCAAAACATACAAAAAACTATATACTTTGGAAAAGTTTTTGGATAAAAAAATGGGACGAATAGATCATTGTGAAGCTAGATCTTTTTGAAGCTACATCATTAAAAAGTTGATGGATTAAAACAAATACATAATTTCAAGTAGATAGCTTATAAGGCACGATCATCTTCTGGTGGATCGTAAAAAGAGATTTTTAACGCGCATGCCATAGGGATAAACTGCTAGATAGAACGTCGAGGATCATGCACTTCTAATCGTTTTTAACAAGTTAAATTCTAGTTTTTTAAGCCATTATTTGACTATTTTATTTATACTATTCTTTATAACTATTTTTTTTATCAAAAAGGGGAACAGTTCAATATACAATATTATAAAAGCTACCCGCCCCTCAGATTACTTTTCATGATGTCTAAACAACGTTCTGTAAAGTATCGCGCGCTTGGCTCAATGTATGGCATTCATCCGTTCGCAGCAACTCGAACTGACGTAGGGAACAACTGGTCGCATTTTACGTCGAAATTTTAAATTGAAAGTGTACATAATACAGCTTGAGCAAAAACTGAAGCCGCTCATTCTTAGACCGTGCGACATCGCTTCGCTCTATGGACTCTCAGGAAGTTCCAAGAAGATCCGATGTCTGCGAGGCAAATTGTGTTGAGCGATGAGGTGGGTTGCTGGCTCAATGGGTATGTAAACAAGTAAAATTGACGCATTTAGGATGAAGAGCAACCTGAAGAGAATCAAAAGCTGCTACTTTAGACAGAAAAAATTACATTTTAGTGTGGTTTGTGGTCGGTTCATATTTCTTTAAGAATGCCGGTGAGAACGTAGCCGTCAATGGCGACCGTTATCAGGAAATGATAACCTATTACTTAATGCCTGAAATTGAAGCTCGTTATCTCGGCGACATTTGATTTCAATAAGACGGCGAAAGTTCCCACACATCGCATCAATCAACAGATTTATTGAGAGAACTCTTCGGTGAGCAGATAATTTCACGTTTTTGACCGGTCGATTGGCCACCGAGATCGTGTGATATCACACCGTTACACTTTTTCGAAATGATCGAACGAGTCATCGAAATTTGAACTCAACGGGTTTACGATATAAGACTTAGCCGCGACCAACATTTGAAAGATATATTCTTCAAAAAATAAATGCTAAATAATGTTCTTTCGAAGTATAATAAACATTCTGTTCCGTTTTTTCTTGAATAAAGTAGGAAACGTCGAAATGGATCACCCTTTATTTTAATATTATTAATTCAATTATTATTTATACCCACGAAGACGTAGTTCGCATGGCGTACGAAACCTTTTCAGTTCAGCTACAGAATACAAATTCATTGGCTGACTTTGAAAAGTAACTTAATTCAAATATAAAATGGTATTCAATAATTAATAGGAAGTCAACAAAATTATATTCTTAATATGAAAGAGCCAGTCAGATACATCAAATATGCTAGATTGAGATATGAAATTAAGACACAAACATTGTAAAGGCGCATGCAATTCTAAATTCGGCTTACAAGTTCTCAGAAACAAGGCACAAGAGTATCTGGACATTCTAAACGGAAGATAAAATTTGATTGCAGTAAGAATAAGGGGACTACAAATTGTGGCAACAATATGGCACTCAAACATCGAGCGAATGCTAAGCGAAAAAGCGTTTCAGACTATCAATCAATCGAAGCGAACTATAGAGTTAAAGCGATGATTTTTTTTTTCAGTTTTTGTCCGATTGTAGGGGACTTTTCCCTGATGGAAGCTTATGGGAGTGAGAAATACTACTAATCATTATTAATATTTTTTCAACATTAACAATTCTATTATTTCCTTTATTTATATTATATTTAATTTTTTAATTTTTTATTATGGAAAATATACAAATATGAAACATTTTGATAGTTTTATTTGAGTTAAGGGAAAATTTTATAGAAAATCTTTTTAGAATTTTAATTTGAACCATAGAAAACTTCATCAAACCACCTTCTAAAGTAATTTGCTATTTAAAAAAAATCATAAAATAAATAAATCTAAAAATATGTATTTTTCTATTATTTAAAAAACAATAATAGAGTACATACATACAATCGTTGCTATTAATAGCAGCAAACATTGGCAAGGTGTGACTATTTATATATAACTTGAAGGAAAATCTAAATATATACAAATAAATATTTATTTATAACATTCTTTTTTTTTGAGTCACACCTTAAAATTTGATAACAGTAATAAATTTTTAAAATTCTATTTTTTATTAAATTTGAATTTTATTATTTAGCAATGATAATAATTCAACTTTTTATAGCTTTTGTGGGCGAGCCTTTTTTTAATTTTCGGCTGCTGGCATGCCTTTTTGTTTTACTTTAGTTTGTAAGTGTTAAAAAATGTACATACATACATACATATATAAAGATGTCTAGGAGCAACCGAAAATTAGCCTGTCTTTCAAATGTCAAGATCTAGCTGGTATTTACGTCACTAATCATTTCAAGTGAAACTCAGAATC